TCCCCTGAAGCCATCTTGCCAAGTCTATTAGGAGCAGTGTTAATCACAAAGATCATTGAGTCCTGTGATCTCCCAGCTGCATGTAGTAGCTGTTAGCATCTCGATGTATTTGCTTTGAGACCTGTGTGGTGGCTGGCCATCTGTGTGTGTAGTATTAGCCCCTTCCCTCCTAAATAATACTTCCCCTCCTCCTCCTCCACCTCCTCCTTCTTCATTTTTTAAAAACTTTATGTGTACGAGTGTTTGTCTGCATGTATGTACCTGAATGACATGCACGCATAGTACCCTCGGAGGCACAGGGTCAGTATGTGGGTACTGGAATCAAGGCAGGGTACTTTGAGTGTGTATTCAGTGCTCTTAATCACTGAGCCATCTCTCCAGCTCTCGATGTTTCTGCTTGCTTTTTCTTTAATTATAAAATTATTACTTTGCTGGGTGGTGGTGGCACATGCCTTTAATCCCAGCACTCGGGAGGCAGAGGCAGGTGGATCTCTGTGAGTTCAAGGCCAGTCTGGTCTACATAGTGAGTTCAAGGACAGCCAAGGTTACATAGAGAAACCCTGTCTTGAAAAAAACCACATGTATGTATATGTATATGCAATGCTATGCATGTGGGTGTTTTGACTGCCTATGTGTCTGTGCATGTCTTGTGTACCTGGTGCCCAGGGTGGCCAGGAGAGGGCACTGGATCTCCTGGAACTGGAATTACAGACAGTTGTGAGGCACCATGCGGGTGCTGGGAGCCGAACCTGGGTCCTTTGAGCCGTCTCTCCAACCCTAGCACTAAATGCTCCTGGAGCACACACCTCTGTTGGACACTTTCTCCCACAAATCCACACAATCCGAAGCAGCTTTCTCCAGATGTTCACCACATCTGGATCTTCCCTCTCCTCCTCTTCCTTCATTCCTTCCTTCTTCCTCTTTCTCCTCCCCTTCTTCATCAGAACCCAGGAACTTTCCCTTGATTCTGACTTTTCCTTTTCTTTTAATCTAGTCCTTCTCTCTCTCAAAACAGACTTCATGTGTGTGTGCCCCCCCCAGAGATTAACCTTGGCCTCGGGTGTCGTTCCTTGATGTCCAGCTTGTATTTTGAGACAAGGTCTATCACTGGAACCTATAGCTTCTGAGCTAGGCTGGCTGGCCAGTGAGAATGAGGAATCTACCTGTTTCACCTTCCCAGTGCTAGGATTACAAAGCTACCGTGCCTGGGACTGTTGTTAGTTTATTGAAGATGGGTTTCTCTGTGTAGCTCTGGTTGTCCTGGAACTCGCTCTGTAGACCAGGCTGGTCTCAAACTCAGAGATGCCTCTGTGTTGTCAGTGCTGGGATTAAAGACATTGCCACTATGCCTGGCTCCTTGCATGGATCTTTGCATGGGTGTTGGGGTACAACCTCAGGTCCTCATGATAGCACGGTAGGCACGTGACTGTCTGAGCCATCTCCCCTGTGAAATACTGACATTTTTAAAGGATCATTTCAGACATCTTTAATGAGGCTAATGGTTGTCTCTTGGCAGCCTAGATTGTTTTTGCAACACACTCCTACATACGTAATAAGGAATGGCCACCAGTGTGAGCTGAAACCGTACGCGTGGACTTTCACATTGTACACTGGCAACTAGGATGACTCCAAATGGGGGGGGGGCGGGGGAGCAGGGAGCTCTTCTCACATTTGTTATTTAGTTAATTCAATACAGGTTCTCCGCTCCGAAGTCCTGGGACCAGAGCATACATCGTCTCTTGTCCAAAGTAACAAAAGACAAGTCCTGGATGTGGCCTTCATTCTGAGGACCACCCATAAGCTTCCTGAAGGATCCAAGACATTTTAGAGAAATCCTCCTGCCTTGGAGTTGTGTAGTGGGTAGCAGACATTACCCACAGGGTAGAGGGTGGAGAAGTCTGGACGTTGTTACACACACACATACAGACACACACACACACACACACGTACAGACACACACACACACATCCATACAGACACACAGACACACACACTCACACACATACACATGCACACACACAGACACACACGTACAGACACACACACCCCACAGAGCTGAGGAAGAGAGGTGGGCTACTGAGTTCCCTCACCCTCATTCCCTCCATTGCTGGAACAAACAGGAACCCAGGAGTGCCCTCTTTCCATTCCTTTGCTTGCCTTTGGCCCTGGCTTTGCAAGTTCAGCTTTTGAATTCTTTTCTTAAGCCAATTTAGACATTCCAGCCAGCTTGGAAAGGGCTTTGGGAGGGGATCCTGAACATCCCAGGGCTTGGCCGGTACCAGGAACATTCCAGCATTGCTCACTGGGAACCTCAGAGTCAGCATCACATAATCTGAAGAAAAGCTTGAACCTTCAGTCGGGGGAACCAGGTGGGCTGTCTGTCTGTAACCCAGCAATGGGAGGGGTGAGTGGGGAGGACTAAGGCCAGCCTGGGCTACACTGTGAATTCCAGGCCATCCTGAAAAGTATAGTGAGACCTTGTGGAAAGAAAGACTAAGGCCTGGAGAGGTGGCTCAGCAGTTGAGCACTGGCTGCTCTTCCAGAGGTCCTGAGTTCAATTCCCAATAACCACATAGTAATTCACAACCATCGGTAATGAGATCTGGTGCCCTCTTCTGGCCTGCAGGCACACAGACAGAACACTGTATACATAATAAATAAACAAGGAAACAAACAAACAAACAAACAAATAAATCTTTTAAAAAAAGAAAGAAAGGCTAAGAGGCCAGAGAGATTGGTAATGTGATTGCCATGTAAGCATGAGGACCCAAGTCTGATCCCTAGGACCCAAGCATCTGTAACCCCAGCAGAGGGGAGGCCAAAACAGAAGAGCCCCTGGAGTTCATTGGCCACAAAGAAATCAAGGGGCGGAGGGCTGCATCTTGGGACTGTGGCACATAGCCCTTTAGAATGAACTCATAGCTGGACAGGACAGGTAGCTCTATTGGTAGAGTACCTGCATAGCAGGCAGGGGGCCCTGGTTTTATCCCTAACACCGCACAAACTAGGTATGTTTCTGCATGCCTGTGATCCTAGTAGGTAGAAGCAGGAGAATTAGAAACCCAAGGTCATTCTTGCTGCCTGTGTTTGAGGCTAGCCTGAGCTACATGAGGTTCTTTCTCAAGAAATAGAAGAGGAGGGAGAAGCATGGAAGGAAGAAGGAAAGAGAGAGAGAGAAAGAGAGAGAGAGGGAGGGAGAGAGAGATAGAGAGACAGACAGAGACACACACAGAGAGACAGAGAGAGAGAAAGAGAGAGAGAGGGAGGGGGAGAGAGAGAGAGAGAGAGAGAGAGAGAGAGAGAGAGAGAGAGAGAGAGAGAGAGAGAGAGAGAACCAGGAAACCTGCCTAAGGCAAGGGTGAGCCTCCACCTGTCATGTCAATGCTGGTCTTTTAAATGGTTTTTACTTCATTATTATTTCTTTTCTTTTGGATTTTCAAGATAGGGTTCCTCCGTGTAACAGCTCTGGCTGTCCTAGAACTCACTTTGTAGACCAGGCTGGCCTCGAACTCACAGAGATCCACCTGCCTCTGCCTCTCACATGCTGGGACTAAAGTTGTGCACCACCACCCAGCTTATTATTATTAATACCATCTGATGTTGATTTGAAGCACTTGCAGCTTTATAACCTGCTTGGAGATTTAGGATCCAGCGTTTATGTTCTTCTGAGAAGAGGAACCCTCTCCTCCCCATGTTCTCATCACGGGTCATCAGCCTAAGGCCAGCTTTCCTGCCTGGGGGAAAAGGAGTGGAAGCTGGGGCCCTCACGCATAATCCTACTTGGCTCACTGTACTAAGGCAGAGGAGGTGAGGCCAGAGTGCAGAGATCTGGCTGCAGATTTGACAAGAAAGCCATTCACACTAAGTACTCCGATGAATTTCATCCCAGTCCACAAGGGCCATCCATCTAGCAGGCGGTCTCTTACTGGTTGTCTTCACTCAAGCTGTCCTGTTGGGAGGAGCATGGTTAAGTGGGGCTGTCTTGTCAGGGTGGAGAAAGGTGACACCATGGAGGGTTTGTGCACAGCTTGGGAGCATAGCAAGCAGGAGCAGCTCCTGCATGACAAATGCTTCGGGGGTCTGGTGGAATGCTGCTGCAGAGTTGGGGGGGGATTCCACTCTACAGCTGGGGAGAGGCAAGTGGCCCGATGAGTCCCCAAAGACATCTCGTGAGTAGAGTTTCATTTTCGTGAGCTTTTGCCTCTAACTGTGGCATTCACCTTGGAGTGGAGCATAGGGAAAAGATCCACGACGGGAGACCTGAAAGGGGGCTCCATCAGTTCCAGGCTCTGTTCATTTAAAGCAGCAAGCACATGGCTTAGAGTAACATTTGTCAGGATGGTAATGACAATGGTGATGGTGATGTTGATTGATGGCAAGATGGTGGTGATGTTGGTGTTGGTAATGATGGTTGTGTTCACTGATGATGATGATGGTGATGGTGGTGTTCACTGATGATGATGATAAAGATGTTGATGGTGGTGATATTGGTGTTGGTGATGATGGTGGTGTTCATTGATGATGATGCTGAAAATGAAGTTGATGGTGATGCTGCTGCTGATGGTAATGGTGTTGATGATGGTGATCCTCTGCTAGGATCTTACTGGAGATGGGATGAGAGCAACATGATGTCCCTCCTCATAGGGCTGGACAGCAGATAAGGAGGAGCTACAGAAGCAGAAAAGGTCACAGACCCAGAGTGCCAGAATTTGAACTTTCCAGACTCTTGTGCTGAGAGGTGAACAGACTTGAGGGTTTTTTCTTCCTGCACAGGCGGTAAGAAGGAAGGATTGAGCCACTAGGTGGGGGGTGGAATGTAGGGGGAGGACTGTGCTCAGCAGTTTGAAGATGTCTTGGGCTTGGGACAGCTTTGGCTAGGGCTGGCCTTTGTGAAGAGCATAGCTTAGTGAGGCCATCCTAGTTAGGATGAGGGAAGACGAGGAAGGACACGTGGACAGCCCACATGGTGTGTGTTTATCTCTCGGGAGCTCAGTGCCTCACCAGATTGCTTGCCAGATTTCAGCTGGGTGGTGCTGTGGTGAATCCACACTTCGTGACACTCTGTACCCCCCTGGAAGAGAACCAGGTGGCTGCTGAACGTGTCTCCTGTGCCTGGGAGCCAGAGCATCTGTAGAATAAAAGTTGAGAATAAGGAACACACAGTGTCAGTCCTGAGCCTGCACTAGCTGGTGGTGAGACCAGGGTAGCGTGTGGTAGGCAACGCTTGGGGACAGGAGGACCATTCATGGGGAGAGGAGCAAGCTGCTCCTGCATTGTTTAGGGTTCATAGTCACAAAGTTTCTGGGTCTCAGATGGTGCTTTGCTGGTAGGTGACTGACTTGGCTTGTGTCTCAGTATCAGGGTGTTCTGGGAGCCTTCATCTGTGTTCAGCCCTCAGCTGTAACGGATGACTTCCCTCATCCCCTGCTTCAACTTCCAGCCTTGTGTTTCAGTTTAGGATGGAGGCACTGGGGAGATGGCTCAGTGGGTAAGAGCACCTATTACACAAGCATGAGGACCAGAGTTCAAATCCCCAGCACCCATATGAAAAGCTGAGTGTGGCCCTAACTTCAGTGCCACAGGAGGTGAGGCCAGGAGGGTGGTCAGGTTTTGCTGGTCACCAGTCTAGCTCCAAGTTCAATCAGAGACCCTGTCCCAAGGGAATAAGGTGGAGAGTGATAGAGGGACACCCGGTGTCCTCCTCTTGTCCCTGCACTTGTACATACAGACATTCAAACCCGCATACACCTGCGAGTCTGGCACCTAAGTGCTGAGATGTCCATCCTGACCACTGCCAGCCTTGGGCAGCTGAGATGGGTCATGGGTGTGAAAATACATACAAGTTACAGATTCGGGAAACGTCAAGGCTGTAGACAACGCCATTAATAACTTGGTCATGCTGGCCCCCCGGTGAGCCAGCAAGGTTTTGAAGGGCTGGTCCCAGACACCGATTTCTGAAATGAATCTAGCACTATCAAAATGGCATTTTGTGTAAGCCTAATGACCTGAGTTCATTCCCATAACCCATGGTAGAAAGAGAATAAACTCCCCACACAAGTGCACACACAAGTCAACCTCTGTCCTTTCTGTGCACACACAGGTGCACACACAAGTCAATCTCTGTCCTTTCTGTGCACACACAGGTGCACACACACAAACCTCTGTCCTTTCTGTGCACACACAGGTGCACACACACCAACCTCTGTCCTTTCTGTGCACACACAGGTGCACACACACCAACCTCTGTCCTTTCTGTGCACACACAGGTGCACACACACCAACCTCTGTCCTTTCTGTGCACACACAGGTGCACACACACAAACCTCTGTCCTTTCTGTGCACACACAGGTGCACACACACACACCAACCTCTGTCCTTTCTGTGCACACACAGGTGCACACACATACACCAACCTCTGTCCTTTCTGTGCACACACAGGTGCACACACACAAACCTCTGTCCTTTCTGTGCACACACAGGTGCACACACACAAGCCAACCTCTGTCCTTTCTGTGCACACACAGGTGCACACACACCAACCTCTGTCCTTTCTGTGCACACACAGGTGCACACACACACACCAACCTCTGTCCTTTCTGTGCACACACAGGTGCACACACACAAGCCAACCTCTGTCCTTTCTGTGCACACACAGGTACACACACACAAACCTCTGTCCTTTCTGTGCACACACAGGTGCACACACACAAACCTCTGTCCTTTCTGTGCACACACAGGTGCACACACACAAACCTCTGTCCTTTCTGTGCACACACAGGTGCACACACACAAGCCAACCTCTGTCCTTTCTGTGCACACACAGGTGCACACACACACACCAACCTCTGTCCTTTCTGTGCACACACAGGTGCACACACACAAGCCAACCTCTGTCCTTTCTGTGCACACACAGGTACACACACACAAACCTCTGTCCTTTCTGTGCACACACAGGTGCACACACACAAACCTCTGTCCTTTCTGTGCACACACAGGTGCACACACACAAACCTCTGTCCTTTCTGTGCACACACAGGTGCACACACACAAGCCAACCTCTGTCCTTTCTGTGCACACACAGGTGCATACACACAAACCTCTGTCCTTTCTGTGCACACACAGGTGCACACACACAAGCCAACCTCTGTCCTTTCTGTGCACACACAGGTGCACACACACCAACCTCTGTCCTTTCTGTGCACACACAGGTACACACACACAAACCTCTGTCCTTTCTGTGCACACACAGGTACACACACACAAGCCAACCTCTGTCCTTTCTGTGCACACACAGGTGCACACACACAAACCTCTGTCCTTTCTGTGCACACACAGGTGCACACACACCAACCTCTGTCCTTTCTGTGCACACACAGGTGCACACACACAAGCCAACCTCTGTCCTTTCTGTGCACACACAGGTGCACACACACAAACCTCTGTCCTTTCTGTGCACACACAGGTGCACACACACCAACCTCTGTCCTTTCTGTGCACACACAGGTGCACACACACAAACCTCTGTCCTTTCTGTGCACACACAGGTGCACACACACACACCAACCTCTGTCCTTTCTGTGCACACACAGGTACACACACAAGTCAATCTCTGTCCTTTCTGTGCACACACAGGTGCACACACACAAACCTCTGTCCTTTCTGTGCACACACAGGTACACACACAAGTCAATCTCTGTCCTTTCTGTGCACACACAGGTGCACACACACCAACCTCTGTCCTTTCTGTGCACACACAGGTGCACACACACAAACCTCTGTCCTTTCTGTGCACACACAGGTGCACACACACAAGCCAACCTCTGTCCTTTCTGTGCACACACAGGTGCACACACACAAACCTCTGTCCTTTCTGTGCACACACAGGTGCACACACACAAACCTCTGTCCTTTCTGTGCACACACAGGTGCACACACACAAGCCAACCTCTGTCCTTTCTGTGCACACACAGGTGCACACACACAAACCTCTGTCCTTTCTGTGCACACACAGGTGCACACACACAAGCCAACCTCTGTCCTTTCTGTGCACACACAGGTGCACACACACCAACCTCTGTCCTTTCTGTGCACACACAGGTGCACACACACCAACCTCTGTCCTTTCTGTGCACACACAGGTGCACACACACAAGCCAACCTCTGTCCTTTCTGTGCACACACAGGTGCACACACACAAGCCAACCTCTGTCCTTTCTGTGCACACACAGGTGCACACACACCAACCTCTGTCCTTTCTGTGCACACACAGGTGCACACATACAAGCCAACCTCTGTCCTTTCTGTGCACACACAGGTGCACACACACAAACCTCTGTCCTTTCTGTGCACACACAGGTGCACACACACCAACCTCTGTTCTGGCTGTGCACATGCATGTGCACATACAGGCATACACACAGAGGAAACTATAAGAACTAATCTTGGACTGGGGCATATCTTAGTGTCAGAGAACTTGCCTTTATTCATGAGGTCCTGGGGTTTGATTCAGCATCACACAATAAAAAATTATCTTAGAGTAATTCTCACTCGCCCGATGTGTAGAGATAAAAGCCGCTTGGTGCAGCCTTGTCCACACAGGCCCTGCACAGAGACATCCACAGCCAGGTGTGCCAAGAATCTATTTTGGTTTGAGACAGAATATCAAAACAAAAATTCTTAAAATGCCCATAACTTCATTTTCTCAAATTGCTGTGGAATTGCCCCAGTATCATCCATTGTGATTTGCACTTTTCTTCAGTCATGATCTATTATAATGTATATGAAAATCTCTTTCTTTCTGTATGTGTGCCCGCGAGTGTGTGCGTGTGTGTGTGCGTGTGTGCGTGTGTGTGTGTGTGTGTGTGTGTGTGTGTAGGCCAGAGGTAAGTTGTATGTCTTTCTCAATCACTCTCCACCCTATTTTTTTGTGGTAGGGTCTTTCTAAGCCTGGAAGCACATCAATTAAGCCAGGCTGGCTGTACAGCAAGCCTCGCCCCCCCCCCCAGAGTCTGTTAACTTCACTTCTCTGTCTCTGGGTTTAAACCATGCATCACCACAGCTGTTTCTCTACATGGGTGCTGGGGATCAAACTCAGGTCCTCATGCTTGTGCCATGAGTATTTTACTAACGGAGCCATCTCCCTAGACAGCCTCTCCCCATTACACATAGCATCGCCAGGCCAGGCTGGTGCGTCTCAGCCTTATCCTGTTGTGTTGGGCAGGGAGAGGATGGGAAACTGACAACTGTTGGCCTGTAGCCAAATGCAAGCCCCTTAGTCCAGGGAGCATGCTTTAGGTCTATAGTTCTCAGCCTATAGGTTGTGACCCCTTTGGGGGGGGGGTGTCACACATCAGACATTTACATTATGATTCACAACTAGCAAAGTTACAGTTATGAAGTGGCAATGAAATAATTTTATGGCTGGGGTTACCACAGCATAAGTAACTGTATTAAAGGGTCTCAGGGTTAGGAAGGTTGGGAACCATTGTCTTAGGCAAATGATATCAGAGGGCCAGCCCTGGGACCAATGGGAGAGTAGATGGAAGGAGCTACTCCATCTCAGAAGTCACCAGAAAGGGACCCAACTAACTCTAAGGGACATCTTTGTCAGGTTTGATGGGTGATGTGACACTTCCTGTTCAGACCATAGAGCCTTGCTTTCTGTAACTCCTCTGTATGCCTGGTGTGGGCACGGCTCTTTCCCGTGTGGTTCTGGGTGGAGGTCTCTCGTGTAAATTAGCAATGCAAAAAGGAGCTGCTCCTGCCAAATGTCAGAAACTACAAACACTGCAGGTTTGCTTTATACCCGGTTTCTTATGACAGCTGCCGCAGCGGCCATTAGTATGTGAATTCCTTTGGCTGTGAAGGTGGATTCTGGGTCATAAACCGATTCCTTCCTCTAGATAATCCTGTCTGACTCCGCAGCTGTCTAGACAATGGAAAAATTAACACCGGGAAACAGGATAGCTCAGGAACCTTTGGAACCAAATGGCATCCACTGTGAGAAATGTGAATCCAGTTAGTTAATGACGCAGGAATCCCCGCTGCTGCCCAGATCTGGGTAATAAGACCCATGAATGTGTTTTTCCACACATTATCCTTTCTGATCCCCTGAAACATGAGACTGTTTCTGTGACCTTGCTCCAAGCTTGCAGAGACCACCAAAAGGGACATTCCATGAAGGTCAGCATTGCCGTGGCTCTCTTCGCCCTGGCAAATTCATGTCTTGTCAGAAAGCACAAGCCCCATCTCACCCTGTTTTGTATTAAGAACAAAACAAAAGTATACACAAACTTAAGTGCCTTTACCCACTGAGCCATCTCTCTGACCCCCAACCCCTGACATTTTATCATGATTAGTAAGACAAACTGCCTCTGCCTTCCCTACAAAGGTGTGGACTGGCCAAGCAAGTATTTTTATGCCCCTGTTTTCAGATGAGGAAACGAATCCAGGTTAAGTCACCTTCGCAGATGTGGCCAGAGTCATAGTGTCCCTGGAAATAAATGCACTTCATGACCTGGATGGTGGGGAGGCACTGAGGCACCTACCAATGGGAAACTTAAAAGGCCTTTGTCTGGGCAGGCCAGGGACCAGGGCCCTCTGTCATCTAAGTAGACTAGGAGAAGCCTTCTGAAGACTGCTCGGGATGGAGGTCCTGAGGGGAGGCTGTCTGGGAATGCCGGGCGGGAGAGGATAAGTTCAAGAATAAAGCAGCAGCGTTCTGAGTCTGAACCAGAGTTAGCTGTGGCTGGAAGATTAGTTCTGTCCTGTTTCTCCATCTCAGCTCCTCCATTCCTTCCAAAAGAGACTTCTCCTATTAGTATTTTAATACCTGAGACAGGGTCTTGCAACGTAGCCCAGGCTGACTTTGAACTCACAACCCTTCTGCCTCAGCCTTCTGAGTGTTAGGATTACAGGCATATGCCACCACACTCTGTGCATATATATATTTGTTCAGCTACATGTGTGGTTACACATGTTTGTGTGCATGCACCTGTGTGTGGAGGCTAGAGGCCACCCTTGGGTGTTGTTCCTCAGACACTGTCCGGCTTGCTGACACAGGGCCTGTCACTGACCCGAACCCTGCTAAGTGGGCTGACTGGCCCCGGGGATCTGCGTGTCTCTGCGTCCCGAGTGCTGGGATGACAAGCGAGCCCATGGCTCTTTCGTGTTAGTTTTGAGGATTGAATTCATGTTATTATTCTCACAAAGCAAGCATTTTGCCAACTGAGCTTTCTCCTCAGCCCTATTTTACATTTTTAATAAGGAAATGGTTGGCAGGAAAATAATTATGCCCTCCCCACCACGTACTTGTGTTTTAATGAGCTGGAGCCAGGCTGACTCGGAGTGCTCCCCCGAGTCTCTCCGTGTGGTAGATCTGGACCCTCTCCTCTCCAGGCTCCACAGATGTGTGGAGGAGGGGGTAGGGGGTGTCTGTGGCCTCAGGAGTTTGAATTAAGCAGGTGTGTTGACACACTCCAGAGCAATTTTTCTTTTTTAAATTTTTTATGACATTTATTTATTTTGTGTGTTGGGGTGGGAGGCAGCGAATGTGCATACTGCGGGCCTCATTATAGATCCGAGGACAACTGGCAGGAGTCAGCACTCCCTTTCCGCCACGTGGGACCAGGGATTGAACTTAGGTCATCACCTGCTGAGTCCTCTCACTGACACTTAGCAATCTCTTTTTCTGTCTCTCCCCTAAAACACAGCACCCTTTCCCCCTTCGGTGGCATTGGCGCCCTCTCCTTCTGTGATACTGGACTTTTGCCCTCAAGGGATAGGTTTCGAGTCAGGCCCTGGTCCCCTAGGCACGTCTAAAATGTCACCACAAGATGCCTGAAAAGAAGAGGGACCTCGATCCCAGTTACAGGAGGAATCTGTACCCACAAGGGGAGGGATGACTCGAAGCACAGAAAAGGAGGCTGTGAAGGCATCATCAGTCCAGCCCAGAGGACGCAGCAGCCTCCAGGAGCCAGAGCCCCAAGTGCGTGGCAGGGAACTTACACCCCAGACCTGCTGACTACAGTGGGGAGATGCTCACTCCCTGGAAGCAAGAAGCAGAGTCTTTCCTCTGCCTTTTCCTTCCTGTTTATGGCCCTTTCCAACCACTGGACAAGGTGAAATTTCTTTAAATCCCATGAAAGTGACTTGGGTATTTAGTGTAGAAGATGAAATGTGTGTGCACATACTGAAAGGTTCAGGCAACACTCTGGCCAGCCCAGAGTTCCGTGAGAACCAGGCAGGTGCAAAGGACCCCTTTAAGGGACTGACCCCTGCCCGTTTACTCTCTCTTACTCTTCTTCCTCTCTTCCTCTCTTCCTCTCTCTTCCTCTCTTGCTCTTGCTCTTACTCTCTCTCTCTCTTATCTCTCTCTCTCTACTCCCCTTTTCCCTCCCCATCACCAATAAACTCCCCGTGGAATCGTTGAGTCGTGGTCTGTGTCTCCTTACTGGATAAACCTAAACATTTTAACAACACACACACACACACACACACACACACATTGCCCAATTCATTACAACCCTCTTACCTTGGCCTCAAAAGGTTTGGATTGCAGGCAAATAATTGCTTTTAAAATTCAATTCCTAGCTGGGTGGTGGTGGCGCATGCCTTTAATCCCAGAATTTGTGAGGCAGAGGCAGGTGGATCTCTGAGTTCGAGGCCAGCCTAGTCAGGATAGGCTCCAAAGCTGCACAGAGAAACCCTGTCTTGAAAAACCAAACTAAATAAATAAATAAATAAACAAACAAACAAATAATCCAATTCATGACACCATCCCCAAAGACAACCCATTAAAACATGGCCAAGAAACATGGGTCTCTGTCTTGCATCCTAAGCAGGGTGGCCAGGCAGTTCTCTGACAGGACAGTGTTGTTGGTCAGGTTTTCATTACTGTAGCAAAATACCCAAGGCGGCCAATGTATAAAAAGGAAAAGCGTACCTATGTCACGGTTTTAGAGGATCAATGTTCGAAGTTGGCTAGCCCGATGGTGTGGTGTCTGCTGAAGCCAGGATGTGTCTCGGGCGTGGTAAAGTGTGCATAGAATCAATCCATAAGAAAGACAAGCCTCCAGTGACCTGAGGGCCTCCCTGGGCCTCCTCCTAAAGGTCCACTGTATCTCCCAGTGCTGCTGGCCGGGGCCCAGTCTTTCCATGTGGTCCTTGGTGGCTACTCAGGGTCCCAGCCACAGCAGCAGTGAGGGCCTGAGCCAGCCCAGATGTGAGATTCCTGTCTGCTTCCTGGTTAGTTCTAATTCTTTCAGCCTCATTGGTTCTGCTCGTCATCCTGTGACAGCCAGGTAGATAAATGAGGGTGCAGTGTACCAGATGGCCTTGCTGGGAAAACGCAGGTGTCCTCAGTGGTCCCCTGAGGTGGGAACTACTGACAGAGGAGCAAGCTCTGGAACAGTCCTCCTGGGAGCCTCTGCTGCCACCCGTCTCCCTGAGTCATCTGGTGCTGGGAGAAATGGATCCCTGAGAGCGGAGGCCAGGCCGCAGGCATGAAAGGCTTTGCGGGGGGGGCAAAGAACTGCGAGGGGCAGCATCCGAGCCTTTGAAGCTGCTGTTTGAGGAACTGAGTGGGAGGGGCTGGGCGACAAGGGCTGCTTCTGCAAGAGAGCCCTGTGTGTGAGGCAGAGGGTGTGGGGGTGGGGCGCTTCTGCTCAGAGCCCAGATCCAAAGGATATTCGGGGCTGCTGCAGGCTGTGGCTTCTGCCCTCTGCTATTTGGGGGTTGTTTTGGACCTGGGGTCCCTGGCGGATGGGGAGGCTGGAGATGCTGCGGTGAGTTTGTGCTGTGCAGAGGACCAATACCCTGGTCCTCCTTCCACCGAGTTCTCCCTGTGGGACATGCAGTCAACAAGGTGAAGGAGGAGATGAACCATCCAGATCTTGTGAGGGCCACCACCAGGCAATGACTAAGATCAGGCCAAAGAGAGTCCAGGAGGCAGCATTTAAGGAGGCACTGCGTCTCTGGATTACACAAGCACAGTGACAGCACCTGAGAGCAAGTGCCTCCTTAAATGTGGCCCACTGGGTGGCTCTCTTGCCTCATTCTCATCCCAGCCTGGCCCAGACAGCTCATATACCCAGGACCAGAACCTCTGCCCAGCTGGTCAGAGCCCAGCACAGACAGCCCTGTCCGGAGGGGATCCTGCTGTGGCCACAGTGGGTCTCTTGCTCAAAGAGAACCTGCGTCTTCAGGTTCAGCAATGTTCAGTTTCCCACAGTAGCACCTTCGGTGGTGAGCATGGGCTTTTGCTGTGCTCCTCTCTCTCCAGGGTCACCTCAAGTGTATGGGACTGGAGAGATGGCTCCACAGTTAATGTATCACTGACTCTCCATCATTGCAATAAAGTATCTGGAAGAAGCAACATTAAGGAGCAAGGATTGATCCTGGCTCACAGTACAAGGAAGCACAGTCCATCATAGAGGAAAAGGCATGGTGGCGGCAGTATCTGCATAGACCAGGAAGCAGAGAGACAGCCAGAGGCAGGGCCAGGCTGTAACCAGAGCGTGTCCTCCAGCCACCCACTTCTTCCAGCGAGGTCCCACCATCTAAGCATCCACAAGCTCCCCATACAGAGTCACCAGCTGGGGACCAAGTGTTTACAGAACACAGCCTGTCAGCACATTCTACAGTAAAGCCACAGCAGCACACAATTGATGTTGGGACAGACATCTGGTCACAATGTTACAAGTCTGGCCAGTTCACATGGAGGCGGGACTTCTCCAGCTTGTTTAGGATCAGAGTTCCAGAGAGAGGAAGTGACATCATTATCTGTAGTCCAGGCTGCAGACTCCAAGGTCTTTGGGCTTCCCCGACTGATGATAACTCTGTGGTAGGGGAGAAACAGGAAGCTAACAAGAATGACTTTTGACCACAGGGGGTGGGGGGTGGGGAGGTGTCATCAATCTCCTAGATGAACAGATTTGTGCCTACTTGGTTTTTGTTTTTTTGGTTTTTGGTTTTTGTTTTTGTTTTTTTGTTTTTTTTGTTTTTTTTTTGAGACAGGGTTTCTCTATGTAGCTTTGGAGCTCGTTCCAGAACTTACTTTGTAGACCAGGCTGGCCTTGAACTCACAGAAAGCCACCTGTCTCTGGATTTGTGTCAACTTTGATTGCAGGTGACAGAAGACCCTCCAGGGCTAAGGACTGAGAGAATTCACCACCATGTTTGACTCAAGTCGTAGACTGAGCTTTATTGAATATGGTTCCTTTTTCTGTCTAATGCTTGACTCCAGCCTCTCTCTCCACGGTGCTTCAGATCTCTGTCTGGTGGCCACCCCAGTGCCACTCCCCATAGTGGCCACAAGATGGCAGCTCCAGCTCCAGAACTTTGAATAGGAGAGGCTCCCAGTGTGTTCCTTAATCACCATGGCTTTTCACTGGCTGCTTGGTCCAACCCGTGCCAATTATTGTAGCTGTGGGTCTGTGGCTCACTCCTGCCTGGAGGGAGCACTGTTGGAGCCCAGGGTTTGAGAGTCCAGCAGCAGGTGGGAAACTGGAATAATGTGCCTGAGGAACTCTTGTTGAGCTAACCCATGGTCATTAAGGGTCTCCACTTGCCAGGCGGTGGTGGTGCACGCCTTTAATCCCAGCACTTGGGAGGCAGAGGCAGGCGGATCTCTGTGAGTTCGAGGCCAGGCTGGACCGACAGCCTCCAAAACAATACAGAGAAACCCTGTCTCGTAAAAACCAAAAAAAAAAAAAAAAAAAAAAAAAAGGGGGATCTCCACTTGAACTATCCTGGGTTGTCCCAGGTTCTAACGGTTCATCCACATGTCTGCACGAGCAGTCACCTGACTTTCTACCTCGTGTCTCCATGTTCTGTGTGCATGTGTGTGTGAAAAGTGTATGTGCATTTATGGTTTTTTTTGCATGTTTGCATGTGTGGGCGAGTAGGGTCCGGCATCTTCCCTGGTCACTCTCTACCTTATTTTTTGCAACAGCGTCTCACTGAACCCGAACTTCCCTTATTGATTGGCTAGACTGACTGGTCAGTGAGATCTAGGGACTGCTCCATCTCTCCCTCCCCAGCCCTGGGGATACAGGCACAGCCAGCTTTTACATGGGTGCTAGGGATCAAACTCAGGTCCTTGCAGTTGCTGGGAAAGCACTCCCCTGACCGAGCCGACTTCTCATCCCCTTCCACATCTTCACAAATCATTAAACCTTTCACATCCAGAGTGGACCCAAGGCAACTTTTGGGTTTTTTCCAACTTAATTAAATCAATGGCGTACTGCCGTAAGGTCCTGAGGTGTGGGGAAGTGTGAGTTTCACAGAGGGAGCACAAGGGGTTTTGCTAGAGCAGACCTGTGCAGTAAATTAAAACAACGATAAATTCCTTAGTAATCCTAGCAGACGAAGAAGCAAAGAAAGAGGGGCAAGTGAACTCTTTTGTTTCCTAATTACTGCTGGTGGAATTGAAAAATTATCTCTGTGCTTACTGAGCCACGAGCCTCTGCTGACAGGCCTGGAGGGAAGAGCCCAGAGCAATCCTTTTCCCGCTGGGGCTTGGGAAAGCTGGAGCTCCCTGTCACAAAGTCAGCGTGGCCTTTACTCCATGAAGAGAGGACCCTCCCTGAGGAAGGCTGCCTGGGAAGAGCTGTGCAGGGTGAGCAGGAGCATGGAGTCCCCTCTGCTGTTAGCATGGTGTTGAGACTCCTTCTCGGGTACAGTGGAAATACAAAGGGGACCTCACTTCCAGTCATGGGGGGGAGCTGAACTGGAGTTCTGTGGTGATGTTCCGGAAGCACGGAGGCTTGCTTTCCCTTCTGTAATCCACTGTCACTCTCTGCTGACTTCAAGAGGGAACTTTGTCCTGAACACCTCTGTTCTCTGTCCGCTGGTGGGACAGTTCTGAAGAGACCAGGAGACACTGTCAGGGGTCATGATGAAATCTGCAGGTCCTCCAGCAAGGGAGGAAAGGGTCTCGTGGCATGACCAGGTGTGTTGGGTTGTACTGGAGGAGGAGGGGGGGGGTCGTGCGGTGTGACCAGTGTGACCAGGTGTGTTGGGTTATACTGGAGGAGGCAGGGGGGGTTGTGCGGTGTGACCAGTGTGACCAGGTGTGTTGGGTTGTACTGGAATGTGTTTAAGAAGGAAAGGGAAAGAGATAGAATCAAAGTTTCTAAATGGCCCCCAGCTGGTGCGGAAAGCCTGCATCTGCTATGGACATCACCAGGCTCTGGAATGGTCACCAGCTCACATCCAGCTGCCTGTACCTGAAGCCCCCCACCCCGACCCCTTCACTTTGTGTAGCTATTATCTGGCATCACCGCCACCCCTCTGCTTAGGTGGGAGACATATACCACACCCACCTGTCTTCTATTGGCCTGAGTGTGTGTGTGTGTGTGTGTGTGTGTGTGTGTGTGTGTGTGTGTGTGTGTGTGTGTGTGTGTGTGTGTTGAAGCAGTATTAAACTTGTGGAAAATTGCAGCTGGGCATGGCAGAGCATATCTGAAACTCCAGTACTAAGAAGGCTGAGTCAGGAGGGTCACTGAGAGTTGAGGGCCAGTCTGGGTTACAGAATGAATGAGTTAGTTCTAGGGCAACCTGGGCAACAGATTGAGACACCTGGTCCAAAGAACAAACAAACAAATGAAATGGAGGCATAGTTGCATAGCTGAGAACATCCACGTCTGGTTCTCTTCCCATCCACGGTGTTGAAATCTTCTCACTCAAGCTCAGTGCAAAGGTCAGGGTCGGCTTCACATACAAGCCATACTCTCATTTTACCTCTGCGGTCCCTGCTCTGTGTCTAAGATCCAGTCCAGAACCCTGTGTATCCCCCCACCCCAGTGTCTCCTTAATTGTCTGCCCTTGCCATTTCTCAATATCCCATGACCTTGACACTTTCAGAGGGTTCGCCAGGTTCGCCAGCCACTTTGAGACTGGCCCTGCAGCTGATCTGTCTGCGGTTCCCTTGTTCCAACGAAGCCTCGTGTGTGCCTGAACTGGGCAGAGGGGACACCCATCCCTGTCAGGCACCACACTGGGTCAGGTGACATCAGCCTCCCTCCCTGGGTATTGACACTGATCTTGGCCTCCTCCTTCTTTGTAACATTCGCAGCACACCCTCTCCTTGGTAGGGGTCACTGCCTTGGGGGAGTCACTGCCTTGGGGGAGTCACTGCCTTGGGGGAGTAAGGTGGTTTGAGACCTTGTGACTCTCTTCTCCCCTGATTTTAGCATCAATTGCTGGCATGGTGTTTGCCTGGCTGGTGTGGTTGGGTATTTACCTGGCCCTTTGGTATTTCCTTCATTAATTTGTTTGGAATTTACTGCTTTATTGTCATATTGGGAAGAACAACGATAATCTGAAGGCACAGGATAAAGATATTCATCAGACAGGAACCGGCAGAGATGATTTATTAAGAAAATGCACTGTGGATGGAGAGATGTCTCAGCCATTAAGAGCCCTGGATGCTCTTCCAGAGGACCCAGGTTCAAGTCCCAGCACCCATATGGCAGCTCACAACTGTCTGTAACTC